CAGCTCTTATTATTGATTTTGTTTGTGTTTTGCTACATGAACTGTGAAGTTTACAACAGAACTTTACTCTCCAATATTTATCTGGCACACATGTATAATCTGTATACTTAATCAGCTTCACAAGACCTTCATGTAACCATTTAAACTGTGTTAGGTAACAGTTACTATCTCGAGTTTATATTGTTGACAATGGATGCTAAGTTAAATGAACAATAAAGTGACATTTCCCACAGATATTAAGGCCTATTTAACTTCTGAAAACACTAATGCTGGTTTAAACTTATAGATAATGACCTGAAGTGAACTGTGAAGTTTAAACGTCAGTGTCACAGCTGTCAAAGTGCTTTTAATACCGACATAAACACCAGCTACTTAATTAGCACTTAGCCAGTCAGCTAACGTTAGCCAAGCTGAGCCACATACATGTTAGCTAAACTTACCGGAGTCCTCAGCCGCTCCTCGGCGTTTATTAACCTCCGGATGCTTGATATTAACCCGTTTCCTGACATGTATCTGGTGGCTAGGTTACCGACCGTCAGCCGGGTTTATTTAAGCGAAGGTAGCTTAAGTAGGAGTAAATGTTTCTGGTTGTTTTGGCGCTCAGGTTTGGGTCACTCAATTGAATGTCAGGTGACCTTGATAACAAATGAGGCTGAACTGTGATCAGCACTTCTACAGTTATCTTCATCATCTTCATCAAGAGGCTGGATTCCCCCTCAATATGTACATAATACACAAATCAACCATTTTAATGAAATATATATGTGCTCTACTGCTCTAGCTGACTCATCTTCATATATCTGTAACAAATCTGTAGTTGTTCTGATCTATTATGTGTCTTTATTTTATTAGCATGAGACATAAAAGGTATTCAAAGAATATGAAAGGTTGATGATGAGCAAATTCAACTGTGGAGCACTGAGTAAAAACTGGTGTGTGTGTGTGTGTCTATGCATAAAGGCATGCTGTGTTAAGTGTGGCGATACTTTATTATAATAATACTGATATCACCCAGCAGCAGTGTGAGAGGCCTCGCAGAAGGCCGTCAGTCCGGGCCCCAAGCAGCAGAGGGAGCTCCAGAGGAGGGTCACCCGCCCGACGTTTGGCATATTTTTTAATCTAAACAGGTGTCACTGGTTTAGGGTTACCAAGGCGGGAGCCACTGTGGCTTATTGTTTCAATCATCACTGGCACACATGCACAATTTTGCTGAAAGTATTTAATGTAAATTCAGTTTGAACTTATATATACAACCGGTTTTAAAATCATGATGCATTTGTCATGTTGGTTTCATCTCACATGAAGCTCCAAAGGACGTACATTTTCTGTCTGCAAGCACAATTTTGTCCACACATGCACACTTCTCTCTTCTTCTCTTCTTGCTGTCTGAACAGGTCATACTTATACTACTTCATTATATGCTATATACACAAATAACACTAACGTTACACATTACAACAAAAATACAAGTCAGATTTCTTATTTAACGTGTTCACAGCAGCTGTAGATCCAGCCTTCTACAGGTATCCATTCTTCCATTATCTTTAGATTATAGTGTGGAAAGAAACAATACAAAACAATATTTAAACTGTACAGAATATGTTAAAAAACACTATTGATAAATAGGCAAAGGTGCAAGGAGGGATCTGACTATTAAAAAACAACGTTACAGTATGTCTCTGAAGAATATAAATATATATATATTCTTGATAAGAGCAACAGCAGTTGCTCATATCAATCTTACCATGAACCTAACAATTTAATCTTTGAAAAGTGAACCTATTTGGATGCATCTCAACTGAGAATAACCAGTAAGCCAGTTAAAAGCTTTCCTCATTGTGTCCATTAGAAGTTCTGTAGTTCAGCCGGATAGACAAAGTTGCTTCTGAAGAGTTTATGGGCCATGAGCTGTCCTCCAAATATCATCATCACCAGACCCGAACCTGCAGAGAGAGAGAGAGAGGGATTAAATAAATAAGAGAAAGAAATCAATCAAAGCAAGGTTTGGAGGCCAGTAGCTGTCTGCCTGAATCTGAAGGGATGCAGGCAGTGAGTTACAGTGAGTCTGGGAACAGGCCAAAGCAATATCTTGGCCAGACAGAGAAGGAGGGGGAGAGAAACAGAGCAGGGTTTTCATGTTCTGTAAATGGGATTGGAGACAGATAAGGACACACATGGAGGGGTAGAGAGAAAGTCGAACTCTTACCCAAAGCTATCCACCAGTGCTCAGCTGAAGGGAAGTCTGACATCACTGCAGAAACATGGAAACTGTGTGTGAAATGTAAAAACTACCCATACATACTGCACACATTCACTTTGTTATTTACAAGTGGAAGATGCTGTTTAGGATGTTTGGGGTTGTTTGAGTGTTCATTATAGTGTTGGTATACAGCCACTACAATATATCCAATTACATAACCAGACCTCCAATCCTATCAGCTGTTCCGCTCCATTGATCCACTTTGTGTGAGAGTGTGGCGTGAGTGTGTGCATGAGTATTTACCTGCTACAGTCATCGCGACATGCAGCAGTGTGACAGTTATGGCGTAGTCCCAAACCCACTCCTCTACAATCCAGGCGAACACCAGCCCTCCCAAGACGTAGGTCACTTCTGTGGAAATTACACCAACTGGAGGGAGGAAAGAAAACTTTTTAACATGCTTCACAATTTAATTTAAAACATTTAATTGTCATATTAAATCAGACACAGAGAGATTTCAGACACAACAAAAGTCACATTTTCTCCAGATAGACTGAAAGGTTTTATTATTTTATTATTATATAAGGACATCTGATCTTGTTAAGCATGCAGATAAAACCCCACACTAATGATTTTTCACGTAAAAGTGCTTACTTATTAGACAAATGAATTGCAGAATGGTCCTTGTGAGTAATATATTATAATTTATATCATATAATTGGATTACTATTACGGATGGATTAATGTGTAAGCAGCTTTCTCTTGTTGTTGTTGCTGCTGCTGGAGGTGAAGCTACTATCTGTGATGGCCCCTCTCCAACATGCTGATGTGCTGATGTGGTGGACAAGTTGTTGTTTTTCCCTGTGTGTCCTTGAAGGTACCATCAGTAGCAGCACGTTCTCAGCTTTTGTTTGATATCTGCTTCGTTTTTATACCTCATATTGCTCACACATCCACATTTACATTACTGATTTTACTGACTGACACACTCCACATTTGTACTTATCACCTCAGTTGTTCAAGTTAATATAATAAATTCACAAATTTCTCGCCATCTATTGTGTCCTCCTCCGTATTCGTCATGGCCTGGGAGCCGGGTTATGACTGACTCTAAAACAGTGCTTTATATTTTGTAAGATGACCACATGTTTTGTATGTAAAACCTAAATCTGCAAAGTAACTAGTAAATAAAACTGTCAAATGACATAGTCAAAAACTTAAGAATGAAGTAGCATTAAACTTAAATACTCAAGTAAACAGCAGGCAAAACTGCACTACAGTATAGTATTTGAGTAAATCTACTTAGTTACACTCCACCAATGCTTCTCACCGAGGTATTTGGGGTTCTGCCATGACGGTTGTGTTGTGTAGTCAAATGGAGTCAACAAGCTGTTGATCTCATGAACCCTGGAGAGACACCAGAAGATGATTAAGATGTGAAAAAAAAAAAAAACTTAAAGTCCTCTTCAGGTCTAATTTGTTCTGTTGAAATGTAGTTTTGTTACTGTAGTAGGTCTCAGTATCTGTGTGTGTACCTGAGCAGTCCGATGCAGAGACTGACCACGATGTAGTAGAGAGAGTAGAAGCACACCATGCACATCAACAGATTCTGCAGGACAACCTGAGGAGGAGAGGAGGAGACGCAACAATTTCATTATTCCTGCTGAGTAATAATGCCCTGTGGGTGTGAGGGTTTTAATTTAACATGAAACCTGCTGTTTTCTTGAAAGCAGCACGTTTGTTGTTGTTAAAAGATTTTTCTTTCTGAGGGTGAGAATGAGGAACAGTGTGTTTTGTGTAATTTTAATTACTGCTATAGAATAAAACATGACCTGTATCCTACTACTGTATATATTGTATCTTAACCCTAACTCTGTCAGCAGGTTTACATAGTTATTTCATTTTATCTTCATTTGACTGCTGAAATTACAACCCTGGGCGAGATGAAACACCAAAATCAATCACATATATGAGATTAATCAATGAGTGGATGAAATTCTATGCCTTTTAGCTTTTGAAAAGTCTTCCATCGACCATCTGCAAATGTTTGCTTCAAATAAACAAGGTAACAACAGAGAAAAGCAAGACCATAAAAACCAAGAGAAATATAAACATTTATGTCAGTGATTTTCATCTGACTGGAAAACGCCACATGTGGAGATATTTACTGGCAAGACGTCATCATTATTTCATGCTTTGTGTGAGTCCCAAAGCTAACAGAAACCCCCTGCTCCTTTCCTCCATTATCTCCTTCCCTTCATGACCCAGAAAACTAACGCTCAGTGACCATAGATAGCAGCAGACGCTCGTTGCTAAAGTCTTCTTTCATAGATGATTAACTGCAGCCTTTACAGGAAATGGGTTACACGACACCCTCAGAGGAGAGATAAGACCTTTTCTCACAGCTGACGTTGGGGCTTTTCAAACACAGGTGTAACCAATTGCATTAATAATGGGCTTAATTCCAGGCAGGTGATCCAGTGCCAGGGCCCTACATGTTGGCTGACTCGCACACCTTAATGCAATGGAGCCGTCCTTAATGTTATTAGTTACACCTGCGCTTTTCCTGGTGTTGAAGCCAACCTCACTACATAGTTCAAAGGAACATGAATATTTCAGTCTGTAAAGTCTGAGAATTGTGAAATACGCTACTATTACAATTTCCCAAAGTCCAAGGTAATGTCTTCAATTGGGTTGTATTGGCCGAACTTATTGTAGCACTATAAAAAAAAGAGAAAATCTGCATATCCTCAAAACTGGGAAGTTGTATCCAGAGAAAGCTTTGTGCGGCATGACTCCATGGATGGCAAGGTTGCTCAGTCCGTTTGTGTATCGACCCACCATGTTGGTCTGGACTGTAATATCTCAACAATTATTGAACGGATTCCTATAAAATGTTGTACAGACATTCATGATCCTCAGAGGATGAAACTATGTTCATACTTTGTGACCAAATAACTGCAAAATTAATGACATTCCAGCCAACCTCAAATGGACTTTGTGTTCAGTGCTAATTAGCAGATGTTAGCATGCCAACATGCTAAACTAAGATGGCGATCATGTTGAACACACCTGCTGAATATCAGCATGTTAACATTGTCTTTGTGAGAATGTTAGCTGACGTTGGCATTCAGCTCTAAACACCAGTGGCCTAAGTACGGCCTCACAGAGCTGCTAGCATGGTCTTGATAAATGACTCGTTTCAGCGCTAATGGCTATAACATTTCATTTGGAGGATATTTGTTGGCATAAGATCGTCATTAGTGGATGTGCTAAAGTGCATTAACTGCTGTGCTTCTTTGTTGATTCTACCTCATTTTCTTCAGATCACTTCCTTGTTTAAAATTTACAGCAGAGAGAAATGGAAGGAAAAAGGCAACATTTAAAAGCATTGGGAAAATTTCCCATCTGCATCTTGAGGCTGTAAATAAATGATACATTTGTAAAACAAATTTAATCGAGGCCCACGTTTCTTTTTATTGTGTAATCTATTCTGGCCCTGTCCAGACAGCCATGAGGATGTGGGTGTGTCTGAAAGCAGGAGAGTGCCTAAGCTTATGCTAATACCATCAGAGACAGCTAAACACCTTGGCTAGCTCCTGGTTTGTTTGTCACCTCAACACTACACTGCACTAAACTGCTCTAGAAACCAGCTTTGAGACTTTAAATGAAACAAAGATCCCAGGTAAGGTGCTCAAGCTCTGTGCTATGGAGCTCTCTCCCATCCTCCACTCTATCAGGACAGCAACAATATCCACCCTCTGTAGAACATCCACCATCACACCAGTACCCGAGAAAACCCAGCCACTACTGACCTATTGTGCTCACTTCAGTAAATATTAAATGCTTGGAAAAACTGATCCTGAACCCCGTCCTGCAGGGCGTCAGACCACAGCTGGATCCCCTCCAGGTTGCCTACAGGGCCACACTAGGGACGGAGGATGCTGTGGCATGCGTCCTCCAACACCTGGAATCACCAGGCAACTTCGCTACAATTCTCTTTGTTGGCTTCAGCTGCGCATTCAAAACAATTCAACCCAATTAGATCGACTTTTTTCACAGCAGCCATTTTGACATTAAATAGTAGGGTAAACACAGCTGTTACCAATGATACTCATTAAAGTTTCTGTTCTATTCAGGTCAAACAGAGTCAGGGTGCTGCTATTGTACATGTTGGCTGACTGGAAAGGCTCTGCTGCACTAAATGGAACAGAACTTTAATTAGTATCATTGATAGCACCTGCTTACCCTACTATTTCACGTCAAAATGGCTGCTGTGAAAGAGGTATATTATTAACAAACGTCACAACCTCGTCATCCCTCCACTCCTCATCCATTAGATTCACAACTTCCTCAGCAACAGACAAAGTAGACTCAGCATACTTCAAATACTCTGACGACATTCACTTTATAACAATAACTCCATGTAATCTATAAACTTGTGCTGGCTGTGGGGTGCTGTTGTTGCTTTACAAAAGCATAATTCAACCTATCCTCTTGTACCAGTCCCCATGCCTCTTCACCATGTTGACCAACAAAAACAAACTTCCTCTGAAATCATTGGCCTTCCCACACCCACACTCTCAGACATGAACGACAGAGCCGAGATGACGCTGATCAGCCCTCAGTCACCACTTCACATTACCTCCGTCTGAGCGGAGATACAGGACCTTCAGCAGGAGTTGTGTCCCCTCTCCCACTGCAGCTCTGAACAAATTGCTCCCTGTTGCGTGTTTGGTTGATTACTCAAAAGCATGCTCAAAAAGGGTAAACAAAAGTTAATTATGACATTAGGACATAAACTTCCTAAACTACTCAGCTTAATGTTGATTATGTTGATGAGGATGGCAAACTTCAAATGATTTAATTAATGAGTCAATTAACTGGAATAAATTGTCTGGTGTATATAAAACCACTATAAAACTGCAAGTAGCAGATAAAGTAATCAGCAGCAATAAAACTCTAATTTATGAAGACACTTGATTATAAGTAGCAATTAGCTCTATCAGACAAAATAATAAGCAACTCGCTGTGCACCGAGACTCTGCCACCTTACAGACAGTCCTTAACTCACTATTCTAGCACAGACAGTGTCCTTACCCAGGTATCACTGGGTGTAGTCTTGAGGGAGAAGGGTCCATGGCGTTTTATGAGTGTGAATCCACAACAACGACAGCAGTAGTCCAACAACATGAATGGCCGCTGATCTAAATGAGAGAATGTAGGCTACTTGTGTGTATTAGTGAGTGTGAGAGAGCATGAAGGAGGGAGGGTTGGATTAGAAGAAATGGGATTACTACTAAGAAGTCTGAGTAAATCCTGAAAGGGATAAAGGTGAACATACTCTAGTATAGGTACACATAAACCGAGAGGAGGAGGCTGGTTTTGAGACTAAATAGTTCAGGAAGTGCTACAGACATTAGATTTATATTTGGATTTCTGTTGTTTGTTCTTTTCTTTTACTATTCTTCAGGTGTCTCTCTCTTTCCTTTCCTTCTACTTGTTGTTGCCTTTTCCCCCTTTCCTTACTTTGTTGCTTCCTGTCTTTCTATCGTCCTTTCTTCTTTTTTCCGTCTCTCAATTCTCCTCATTGTTTTCATCTTTCTTTCTCTCTTTCTTTCTTCACATTCTGTGCTTCTCCTCCTCCGCCCATCCTTCCTTTACCGCCTCTCCCCCTTTAAATAAACGATTGACAAAAAAAAAATATGAAGCAGAAGAAGAAAACGCGGGTATGAAGTGGAGCTGAAACTGAGCAAGTATTTGAACTGTTTTGGCCACTTTTCAAACATTTGCTGCTTTCAGATTCTCCAATGAGGATTTGCTCATTTTTATTTTCTCTGGGAAATTGTAATCTGCATCACTATTCTCCAACAATTTATACATGTATAAAATGTATTCTGAAGGTTCTTGCTTGTGTTGTCTTTTTATTTTTTAAATCTGCCATTCATACTGAAAGTCTGGTTTTTGAGAAATGTGCAACAAAACATCGAAAACTCGTTTACTGTCTTGTCTGGCAGTTCTTAAAATGAACACTAGGTGGTAGCAAAGCATCACACGCACAGAGAGAACTTAACCCAACCAATGAAGAACCAACACAACAGCAACAGAAGATACAAGAGCCACATACACAGGACTGGCAGCAGCAGATAAGATGCTTCCCGATGCCGCATTTATATGTACACACTTTCATAAATCATTCTGCTCCATGTTTTTTTTTTTAACTTTGAGATTTTGAATGAAAACAAATCAGAGAGGAAGCATCTGCTGATCCACCAAGTGCTCCTGAAAATACAGATAAGAAAGAGAAGAGGCAAGTGAATGCAGAAATGACGGCAGTTCAACATCACCCTCTCCCTCCAGAAATAGCAAAAAGAAACTCTATATTCAACTCTTCGGCGTCACAGCCTGCGTATGTCCGTGTGTGAGTGGCAGAGCACATGCACGTGTGCTTTTGTGTGAGTGTGGGGTTGACTTGGCTGCCACAGTAACCTGCATCATTGTAACCATAGTGACGGAGAGCAGGGGGGTGGGAGAGGGGATAGCAAGGTAGGCGTCATAACTATTCATCCCCCTGTGTGTGTGTGAGTGTGTGTAGTGACAAATTTTATTACTGTAAATCTCTCTAATCATTCAGATCTCTTTTTTTATATCATTGCATGCTGTATGTATGATTGCATGTATGATTACTTTATAATGTGATGACTAAAGGTTCAGTGTGTAACATTTAGGAGGTGCTATTGGCTGAAATGTAATATAATATTCACAGTGTGTCATTAGTGTATAATCACCTGAATATAGGAATGGTTGTGTTTTTGTGACCTTAGAATGAGCCGTTTATATCTGCAGATGCCATGGGTCGCCTTCAATGTTGACCTGCCATGGTTCTACTGTAGCCCAGAAGGGACAAACCAGTTTCTCCTACATACCTGAAGGGGAGGGTGAAGTGACAGAGTTGCAATCTGCAACTACACTGCTAGATCCCAATAAATCCCACACAGTGTGGTTTAAAATTGAGATTTGAAATTTTTGGCATTACAGTGTTGTGTGCTCGCTCTGTTTAACTGCAGTAATGAAGACACACAATCACTAATAAGCGCACACACATCACCTGGGATTAAAGGAATGGTTACAATGGTTGCTTTCTTACTGAGAGTTAGATGATAAGATTGGTCACAATTTCATATCTACGAGTTATAGTGAAGATACAGCCGGTAATTTATTATCTTAGCTCAGCTTAGAGACTGGAAACAAGGGAGGGGGGGTTCAATAAAGTCACCACCTACCAGCACCTGTCAAGCTCACTAATTAACTCATTATATCGTGTTTGCTTAATCTGTATGAAAAAAAAAAATCAAGATTCAGTAGAAAGAACAGATTCAGTTAAAACAACAATTCAACATTTTACTCCAGAAAGTTATAAAGCTCATCAGCATCAGGTCAGTGAACTGAATTTGACAATTTAAAACACACATTATCAGCGAGAAGACGCTGTTAAATCTCTGTTTCAGCCCAACACAGCTAAAGCTCAGCTGTGGTGAAATAACAAGAACAGTTTTTTTTAGCTTAAAAGCATTTTAGAGGAATTTCAAGGCGCTTATGAATTATTCAGTTCATACTAAACCTCAAATGACAAACAGATAGCCTTTTTTCTATAAGGAGCACAGTGAAGATAAAACAAACTGTAATCATGGTAGCCTGTTTTTCTTTTTATCATGTTGCAGAACATTCGAATATCAGTGTGAGACCTGATATGATATGAGTAGGAAAAATGGGACTGATGGAGACAATTGAATAGAGTGCTCTTGTATCTCAAAGTACCTAGAGGGAGTGTTTACACGACTTGAGTGTAAACAATCTGTGTTGTATCCAGAGAAGCAGAGAAATGAACACAGTTTCTCCGCTGCTTCCCTTATCAGGTTTTAAAGTTTTTGAAAATCAATTCAACAGAGACAGAGAAGGATACTCATGAGAACACTGAGGCTCACTGACCTACATGTCAGCATGGCGTGTTGTGGGAGCAGAGAGGCTGTAATTATCATTCAGTCTGAGTGTGTATGTGTGGTACAGAATTTGACGTCATAGAAACTGTCATAATTCATTTAAGATACACAAAAATAGGCAACAGTAGCGGGAGCTAGGAGGAAAGAGAAAGAGAGAGATGGGTTTGCGTGACAAGTGGAAGAAAGACAGAGAAAGAAGTATTCTTACAATCGTTTAGGTCGTTTTTTTCCAGAAAAAATTGGCAAATATCTGGTTCTAGTTTCTCCAAATAGGATGATTTGCCGCTTTTCATCTGTTCTTTATCCCTGTAAATTGTATCTCTTTTTAAGTGTTGGTCGGACAAAACAAGATTTGACCTTGGGTTTCTGGGATACTGTGTTGGACATTTCATGGAACAAATGAGATATTCTGATTTCAAATGATAAAAATGCTCAAATTCTCTGCTCTATCATCTCCTCTCTTCTTCTCTCCTCCTGCACTCTACTTCCCATTCCCTCTCCTCCTCTCTGCCTTTCTGCCCAAAACTCCTCTCAATTACAGTTCCCTTTAATTGTTGAGCTGCAGAGACCTGCAGACAGCTGCTTACAATAAGTATAACCCAAAAAGTCAACGCATTTTGTAAATCCCATAATCCCAAGTGGACTTGTAAACAAAAAAATGCAACAATCAACAATGTAAGGCTTTGTTTTTTCCTCTCCTTTTTCTCCCACACTCTCCTCCCATCCTACCGTCTTCCTCTTGCTGTTCCTCTCTGCCCCTTCTCTCTGTTTTCATTTCCATCTCTTATGGAATGTAAATACAGCAGCTGACTGACCACTGCAGGGATATGGCTTTAATTTGAATAGCTGTCTTATGGTTTGAGAGCAGGCAGGGTTTGTGTTTTTATGATCTTAGAGGCTCCAGATGTCGCCACAAGAACTTGTTCTATCCGGCGATGCTTTAGGGCCCCTGAGGGGTTATTTTTAGTGTTTGTGGTGCACAGAGGGTGCTATAATGAGAGTTAAGGTTAGGGTTTAAGGTCATGGTCAGGTTTTAGGTTGAAGATGGCGTCTGAGGACCGAAAGAATGCCCTAATGATTGTGTACAAATGTGTATCCAGTGTGCACATGCGCCACTCTGCCCTCTGGGTAGGGGTTTTCATTTCTCGCCAACTTAATCTCAGCCATCTGAACAAACAACGGTCTGTCCCTCTCTCACACACGTGTTTCGAGCTTATTGTTCAAAATATCTGCCCAAATATCTGTCTTGCACTGCAGCCCAGCTGATATATTTTCATTGAATCAATTCCAGGATATAAATACAGGAAATGACATTCATGCCAACATCTGCAAAGCTGTTTGCCCCCCCCCCCCGTGCATGGAGAAAAGCTGAAAAGTTGAACACAAATGGTGTGTGTGTGTGTGTGGTACTGAGTGAGCCCCCCATTGATTCCAGTAAATGGACTCACTCTGTCTTCCTCACATTCCCGGTTTTTCATCCGGTCACCACATCATCCTGGAGCCACCGAGGCTTCCCAGTGCAGCAGTGGCCCCAACTGGAGTCCTGACTTATTGGTGGAGCCATTTTGGACTTTCTAGAGGCCCACTCTCCACACTTCAGATCTTTCATTTCCACTAATATGTTGCTTTTCCAAAAACAGTTCTTATTACTCGACTTAACATTCTTAAACGGAACAAATTATGTTTACTTAGATCCAATCAGATATTCCTCAGATGGCTCTCTAGCTAACTCTTCTTCCAATCTCTGGGCATCCTTATGGTGTGAACAAAAAGCCGACGGAGAGTGGGCCTCTAGAAGTCCCAGAACATGACTCCCACAGGAAAAATGCTAGTCCCAGGACTCAGTTAGGGGTGCCACTGCTGCAGGCTGGGAAGCTCGTGCCTCCCAGTATGAGTGTGGGTGACTCGCGTAACCGGACTGGTTGAGAGAATATGGGGAAGACAGGAGTGATGTCAAATTTAGCTAGGAAAGTCGCAAATGTGGGGGCTCACTTCCAGTACTACACACACACACACACACATCACAGATCTAACACACAGCAGTCCTGTCGATGGAGCATCTGATGTTGCATTTCAAAAAACTTATTTTCAATGAGTTTTAGAGCCGAATTGGATGACAGGATGTGCAGATGACAAGCTGGATGCAGTTGTTAAGAGGAAAGGATTAGCTGCGAGACTTGAAAAGATATAAAATAGCACTTGACTATTGTATCACTTCGCAAAGAATAACTGAGGAAAAAAATAAACTAATGACAGGTCTGATAAAGAGGGTGAATAGGATTGTTTGACATACCCATATAAAAGCTTGCATCAGAAAATGTTGACTGCTAAAAGTCAGCGGGATAACAAAGAGTACAATAAATATCTCCTGCTAAGGATCACCCAATTGACCGTGAGTCTGTGTATGGAGTACAGCGATGCACAAACACACGCCTTGCTATTGTTAAATAGCTTTGCTCATTCTTATCTTCTGTGTTCTCTGTCCCTGTGTCCTCCGCATTCCTCTCTAATGATAGCCAGTTTCCTTTGGAATATGGATAACAATACCAGACAAATGTAACGACTTGTGGTTTTTAACTCGGAATAAAAAGCTCAATATCATGTTAGTCTAAGAGAACCAAAGATTCATCGACTTCACTCACTCGCGCTCTCACCCTCTATAGAAGAATATAACAGTTGTACTCAGGAGAGACCAGCCAAATCGAAACTTACAGCGGTCCATCATTATTTAAATTTTCAGTCGATTCTCTGTACTCATTTCTAATCAAAGATAAATAAAATGAAATAATACGTTTAAAATGTGAACCAACTCAATGTACGACGTAAAATGATAACTACAAATTATAAGAAAAAAGCACATACAATGCTCGTTATCAGGTTCCTGCTCGTTCTTCCCACTGTCCGGTTCTCTGTGGTCACCCCTTACCAAGGCCCCGGCTGGTACGATCGGTTAATGCACCTAGTGTATACAAACCTGACCAATGACCAGATCCCGGTCACACTTACGAGACAACTCAAACTTTGGTTTCATCTGGAGTACTACAGACATAATGGTCAACATGGCAGTAAAGCATTTTCCTGTTTAGCATCCAAACCTTCTCCTGGTGGTCCAAAGCTCCTGTACTATAGTGTCCCAAGCTCCGATCCTGCGCAATGGCTATACTGATCGTACTAGAAGAGAAAAATCATGAAACTTTGTATACACCCTTAGAGTTGGAGGCGGAGCATAGGCTGCCGATGGTAGGGGTGCTGGCTGGTGATGTGCTGTTGACAAGCCTCCGTGCCATAAATCAAAGTAAGAGACATCATGTGTCATCAGTTTTATTTTCACGAATGGTAGTAGATGTAAAGTTTATGAAAGAATCATTTTTTTTTGTTTTGTGCCCGGACACAACATATTTATCTAACTAATTTTTATTCCTTACCATGCACTCGAACGGCGATCTTATATAGTTTGAATGGGTTCTCGAACTGAAAAAGACCCTTAACCCTTTAATTATGGACCCTTGATCTTTTTTTCTTTTGTGTTTTTTTATGTTGAGGCATGAATATTGACATCAATGCCTCCTTACTAAAGAAGTTAATAATAACAAAATCAATAGTTAATAATTGAGATCCAGGCTGGCATAGAGAAACGGACCTTGTCAACCTATGGGAACAGATCAAAGTGTTTCCCTCCCAACAAATCAATCAGTCAATGAAAACAGACACACACACACACAGCACAACAAACATGCTTGACTACCCTGAACAATATTTAAGCTTATCTCTGTCCAATAAACACCGGTTCACTTAGCAGTAGAAAGGATGACAAATGGATATAGCCATCATGTTAAACCTCCTTTCTTCATCAAACATTAAACAGAAAGTCATTAATATGGATTGAAATAAAAAAGATAGGCTGTAGAGCTGTCAACTTGGATGTTTTTTTTCTTTTTGAGTTTAGAGATGGTCAAAATACCAGCTCAGGTCTTTACTTTGCAAATAACGCGGAGTTTTACACTGTCACTGTGCCATTAGTCAAGCCAGGGGGATTAGGCTGTAACGTTGAGGGAAAGTAAAAAAGCCATCTGTCCACTTTGAAGCTACGTTTCAGGTGAAATGCCATTCCAGAGAACAAATTCAAGCTGGACAGGGGGGGGGGGGGGGGGGCAGTCCAGCTCCCATTGCAGGGTTTTGTGGAAACCACGGCAGGCACAGTCTTTTACTCACAACCCACTGGTCCTTACATGGAGGTCGATACATGTCATTATTACAGCTTAGACCGGGTCAAATTTGAGTCCTGCGAGCTGTCAAAGGGGTCTCTTTTCGTCGACTTTAATTGAGCGCGGGAGCACGTTTACGCATTATGAGCGAATGCGCTGCTCAGGACCAATGGGGGAGGGCGGCAGACGCGCTCCTACATTACGACTGAGAGGAAAATCCTTTAACACATTACCGCCTATTTACAAGTACGTAACACACTAGGTTGTAATGCCCATATGCGGGTGAAAATATTCCTTGTTTGAATTGGGAGGTAAAAAGACACAAAGCGCTGATGTGATGTCTCCTTTGGCTGTAATGCGTAAAACTCTACGTATCCCGACATATTTCGGCTCCAGAAAAAAACTTGATTTACGTCAGAAAAAAGAGAAAGGAAAGACCAAGGGTTCGAAAGGAAATCTCAGCAGCAAGTTTGTTGCGTTTTACAAGCAGGTTTAAAAATCGGCGAGTAAAAGCGTGTTTTTAATTTCCTCTGAGCCGGGGGGAGACGAGGCCAGATCCTCCAATTCCTCAAAGCGCTTCAACGCTTGGTGGAATGTGAGAGGCTTTCACTGGGAGGTGTGTCGTGATGAGAGGAGACAAGGAGAGGAGAGAGAGAGAGAGAGAGAGAGAGGGAGAGATGGGGGGTGAAGCACTGGGAAGATGGTTACGGCCTATGCATTGTGTGGTGGTGTTTTTTTTTTTTTTTTGCGGGGTAGTGTTTATGGAGAAAAACAAGGCACTGGCCACGTGCCCATTGCTGTGCAGGGCGCAAACGGAATGGTTTAAGGAAAGATTAGGAGGGAGAAGAAAGCCTTGTGATGCTCAGGCTCCAGGAGAAAAATGGATCATGCCTTGTGACATGTGGGAGCAACAAGCCAGCAGTATCATGTATATTCTGAATACAGCAACAAAATGCAGTGTGGAAAAGTGTGTATTGGGACAGCTGTAATATCGGGCAGGAGTTACTCCTGTTGTGTCACTCTAAGGATATGCAACAACTGCCCAGATGTTAGGAGTTACCAACACACCACAGCGG